ACAAGAGAAGCTCTCTCGCTCTAAGTAAATATGTGAAATTGAATGAAGACGCAAACTCAAATACGCCATCCCATTTTCCCTGGAGAGTCACAGTCATGAGTCTGAAGTGTGTTTGTCCTTTAACAGTCATCATGAACTTTTCCCCTTCTATCACGGTAGAGCTGTACTTCTTTAGTACCAGGCACTTTCCATGAATATGGTACAAAATAAGGACAGAAACTCTTAAAAACCAAATTAAAAAATTGTTAACATCAAGAGTTCAAACTAAATGTCAGATGAGCCGTTTTATTTTCTATTCAATTTCTTTGACGTTTGCATTTTGCAGCCCTGTTACCAAAATTTGAGATGTTTTTAAATGCATTTCAAAACCCTTATTTGTGTTATTTCCTTATTAACTAGAAATATGCATGAAATAAACATTAAAAAATAAATAAAACTGCTAGAATGAGTAACAGGGTAGCCCTTTTAGTGTAAATGAAGCTGTTGCTAAATAGCAATTGACTAGTTTGGGACCAAATGTTACTTCATAGTTATTGATGAACTTAATACCATAAGTTAAAGGAAAATAATAGTTAAATCGTTTTATTTTTACAATTGGGTAACAGGCTTGAGCTGTTCATTTTGATGAATTAAAGGGATAGTTCACCCAAAAATGAAAATTTGATGTTTTTCTGCTTACCCCCAGGGCATCCAAGATGTAGGTGACTTTTTTTCTTAAGTAGAACACTTCAGTTTTTAACTCAAACCGTTGCAGTCTGTCAGTCATATAATGGTAGTCAATTGGCTCCACGGCTTTGAGAGTCAAAAAAAACATACACCGACAAAAACATACACCATCTTAAGACTTCATTGTATCGTCACGAGCCGCAGGGTTTAATTTGGTTTTATCTGTGTATGTTTTTTTTTACTCTCAATGCCGTGGAGCCCATTGACTGCCATTATATGACTGACAGACTGCAACGGTTTGAGTTAAAAATCTTCGTTTGTGTTCTACTGAAGAAACAAAGTCACCTGTACTTCTTGGATGGCCTGGGGGTAAGCAGATAAACATCAAATTTAAATTTTTGGGTGAACTATATCCCTTTAAGTCAGTCCCACAATTTGTCAAAAATTTTGAAAATTTGACGAGATTATTTACTACTTTACCCCTTTTTACTGTCATGCTGTAGAAAGGGTCCAAATTTGTGAGTGCAGCAATGTTAAAAAAAGTTTGAAGTGTTGAAGTGAAGAAATGGGCAACAAATATTATATTTTAAAATCCATTAAATCTATTAAAATCAGTTAATTAAAAAAGTTATTTTTTAACAACAAATAATTAAAATCAGTTTATTAGATTTGTCAAAATTATGTACAGACGTGATTGGGGGAGATATTTATTCTGTTTAAAATAAACTATTTTTAATGCTTAGTTTAGCTTATTTATGCTTAGATATACACTAGCTTTTAAAAGTTTGTGGTCAGTAAGATCATTTTTAATGTTTTTGAAAGGATTATCTTATATTCAACAAAGGCTGCATTTATTTGATCAACAATGCAGTAAAAGCTTTAATATTGTGTAATATTATTACAATTTAAAATTACTGTTTCTATTTCAATATATTTTAAAATGTAATTTATTTATGTAATGGCAAAGCTGAATTTTCAGCAGCCTTCAGAAATCAGTCTAATATGATTTGTTGCTAAAAAAAATTCTAAACAATTGTGCTGCTTAATATTTTTGTGGGAATAATAATAATAATTTTTTTTCAGGATTGATTTGAAATGGAAACATTTACCTTCATTTGTTCTGTTTATGATGGTATGGTCACAGTCCTTTGGTAAAAAAGTTGAAGTACCAACCTCCACTGGATGTTCACATCCATGTATACTCGGTTATTACTCTGCAGTCGAATGGTTACAGAGCCAATGAGCCGTCTACTGGCCATAAAAGAGAGGAATTGATCTTTACCGACAGCATCACATGACCCTCGTCTGTGCAGCACGCCACCATAGAATCGATATCTAGCCTTACTTGGATGAAGACAGTAGTTTCATGATCACTTTGTGCAGCATTTATGGTCACCAGTGGACTTGTGCAGCCCATCTCAATGTGTCTGTGCCAGTTTTAGCTTTTAGTTGATTATGAGGCAGTGCAGTTGTCTAATAGATCGCAGGCCATGTAGCGTAAGTGTTGTCTCTGTCGGCTTCTCTCATCATTACTGCTGAACAAGCCCTTCTCTAACAGCCTAGAGGTGTTCTCCTCAGAACCAGCCAGGTGCCTCCAGCTAGATGCTGCAGTTCTCCCATGAGGATGCTGTTTCTGGTATTAGGTTGACGTCACTCATAATTCACGAAGGCAGAGATAGCGGTGAGCAGGTCAAAATGCACTCCTTTGTGCTTGGTGTTAAGATTCTGAGAAAAAAGCCCAGACAGCAGGGGTAAATCAGAGGAACATACATACTGTTCACTTGAGATTGAATCCTTTGTCTATTTTTGAGTACAGAACTTGCCATGAGCTGGTCCTTTTTCCCAACATTATCAAACAACATTGCAACCATTTTATTTCTGTACTTTTATGGAACAAATGATCTAGCATATATTTTCTTACTTTACTTTCATTTTGTCTTTTACCTTTTGATTTGTTCACAGTTTTACTTGTTTTGTTGTAGTTTATTATTATTATTATTATTATTATTTAATTGTGCAGCATATTGGGTTAACAAAAAAACTTTAGCAACTAATTTTTGCAACTGAATAGCAATAATGGTTTTTTTTAAATTAAATTTAATTAATTTGTTTTGCTTTCATTTAGTCTTTTCTCCTTTGAATGTGAGGACTTGTTTAAGTTTTACTTGTTTTTGTCCAAATGAAATGGCATCAGCAACCATTTTATTTCCATAATGTGTCTTTTTTTTGTGAAACATAATATTCATAAACATAATATTTTTCTTCTTCCATTTTAATAGTCTTTTTTCCTTTTGATTTACTTTGTACTTTGTTGTAGGTTTTTTATTGTGCAGGATTTTTTTGGTAAACATGAATGACATTTAGCAACCAGTTTTTGTGAAACAATATTAAAAAAAAAATCTAATTTTCTTTTTCCTCCTTACTTTGACTATCATTAATACCTATCAGTGAAATGTACTAAATTAAACTATTTCATTTCACACACATATTACTAAAAGTTCATTTGCACTTAACAGAGAAGGTTTTTTTATTATTATAATTTTTTTTTAAAGGGGTTATGATCTTTTGACATTTAAGAGGTCTTTATATCATTATGCGAGTACTGTAAGCGTTGAAAGCAAATACAACCCATTATAACCACTGAAGTTAGATACAGAATACAGATGCCCATTCAAATTGTGTGCCCATTCTTAATTAAACTGCATTAGCAGCAATTTTACTTCAATAATGTGATGCTTTTGTGAAACTGGATATTCTAATTTTTTTCTCATTTTACTTTCATTTTTTTCTTATTTGCTGTCATTTGTCTTTTCTCCTTTAAATTTGAGTTAACAACTAAGATGTTGGTAGAGAAAGTCATTTCATTTTGATGAAATATCGTGCAGACTGACACATTTTTTTTTCAGAGTCATGCAATAAGACCAGGAAAGGCGCATGCTGTAACAAAAAATGTGTTGTTAAATGCACAGTAAGTCGCTTTGTATAAAAAATACCTGCTAAATGAATAAATCGAACAAATCAATAAATTGCAAGCTGTCCCAATTAATAATTAACTACATTTAAATTTTTTGGTGGACTATCCCTTTAAGAACTTCATCTGTATGAGGACTATATCTAACCCTCACGGTGAATACTGTAAATGTGAACCATCATGTGCTTTGTGGTGGAGGCCCATAGTACAGTAACTTAGAGTTTGACTCTCAAAGGACTGAAGTTGCTTAGGCTGCATTTTTTTCTTCTGTGCATTGCACTAGCTATCGCCTTGTCAAGACTCACAGGAGAGACAGAGAGCGAGAGAGACGGTAAAGCTCAGCGGCTGCAGCTGCAGTGGAATCATCAAAGCCAGAGAGAGAACAGGCCAGCTCTGTCTGCATCACTGCTCCTGCATGCATGATCGGCTAACCACCTATGTGCCAATCAGTAGATTTTAATTGGGTAAAAGAGAGCAGAATGTCGCCTGTAGCAATCATAAGGAACCATCCCATCATCTCCTCCACCTCCTCCTCCCTGTGCTGCCCACACTTGTCTTTCATGCAGTCAGAGTTTTGTGCTCTTCATAGAGTGTGTAAAGACATTTATGCGCTCTAGGGTTGCTTTGGAAATAAAAAGCATGCTGATGATTTTAGACATCACACTCTGACAACAAAAGCACCCGTAAAAATGAGACCATGCGATTAGTACATGCTGTTCCTGACTGGAAAACACATCTGTGTGAAGCCATGCTTTTCTCGGGTAGTTTTTGCAGCAGGAAGGACCTCAGCATAGTGTGTGTAGCTCTGTTCCAAACTCTGGTGAGCTACTGTATCTATAGACCATACTGGAAAAACCCACTTAAACTTTGGTGCTTAATATATTTGTGGAAACCGTATTAGATATTTTCAGGATTCTTTGATGAATAGAAACGGTGTTTATTTGAAATAGAAATATTTGTAACATTTTAAATGCCTTGCCTGTCTTTTTTTAATCGATCTTACCCCGAACTTTTGAATGGTAGTGCACAGTTTCCACAAAAATATTACGCAGCATAACGGTTTTCAACACTGATGATAATAAGAAATGTTTCTTGACACCAAATCAGCATATTAGAATGATTACTGAAGGATCATGTGACACTGAAGACTTGAGTAATGGGTGCTGAAAAATCAGCTTTGCCATTACAGTAAATTAAAATACTAATACATAATTATTTTAAATTGTAATAACATTTCACATTACTGTTTTAATGTATGTTTCGTCAAATAAATGTATCTTTAGTGAGCACTCTTCAGTATTCCGCTCACTAGGTTTTAGAAAAGAGCATGTATTGATAAAAAAAAAAAAAACAGTACGCATATATGTTATTTATTTCTCCATATAATGTCTTGGCTACAACCTGAGCTTCAAAGACCATTTGCGATATACATTGTAACAAAGCACTCAGCATTATACACAGACAAGGCAGACAGGAAACCTCCTCCAACTGCGCACATGTCCTCTTTTTCTGGTCCACACCTTCACCCCTGCCTTTTTCCTTTCATCTCTGTGCTGTTTTTCTCCTCCTCTTCTGTCAGCTGTTATATAAAGCGGTCTTGATGAAGAAACATAACTGGAAATAACAAGCTTCATCTTGAAGCCTTAGCCCATATAACGCATTACTTATTTTGTGGTCTTGGAGATTAACAGACCTTCTTCTTGTTGTTGCTTATTATCTTCAATTAAATCTCCAGTTAAGTTAGCTGAGCTAGAATTAGTACATTAGAGACATTATACAGATTATACTATCTGACATTTGAATCTGGTATTTTTGGGGTCTGTATGCCATGATGCCTTGTTTTTTGGTTCAAAGCATTATGTGCCATATGGCTTTTTATTCCAGCTTCTCTTAAGCATGGAGCTATCATATCAGATTGATCTCAATTAGAGCTTCATTACAGCTTTATTCCACAATACACGATATCATTTTTACAGAACAGCTTTTTATTCTTTTTATGACTCTGGAAAAAGGGTGATCAGACAAGAACAATTATGACTATTCAGACCACTGTTGAATGACATTTTAACAAATGGTTCCCCCATTTTAAGCACCAGTGTGTTGAAGTGTTCTGTGAGTCCCTCCTCCATCTTTTCAATTCATTGAAAAACATATCCACCAAAAAAAATTTAAAAAAAATTACAGCATATTTATATACCTTCCCTCATTAGAGGGCCCAGTCATGTTGTGCTTCTTCGCAGCAGTGAATTTCAACAAATAATGCATTCCCTCTTTGGGTTCAAATGTTTTTTTTTCCTTTTCTTTTCTTCTCTTTTCTTTTTTGTGATATTTACCCCTTTCAGCGCCTCATTAACATTCGACTAGTGTTTCTTCTGCATAAAGTAGCGACTGATTTATTCAATAATTTATTAATTGGTTAATTAATCTTGTTGAAACGGACGCTTTAGGTTGTAATCCCCCATGCCTTGGGCCTGTCGTAAAAAAACAAGCCTGTCCTTGAATTATTATTTACTCAAATCTTACTTGTCATTCTTTATCTTCACATAATTTGATTTTGAGCCTTGTTGTGGCTCGAAATAATGGCGGTCATCAAATAATAGCCAATCCTTTGTGTCGGGAGCATTACTTCTCATCAATCCTCATATTATTTTTATAGTACTTTCGTTACCTCATTTGTTAGTATTGGCCTTTCCTAGATGTCACTTCCCCCTCTGACTGTGGAGTCTTTCTTTCACTATCTACACCACGCTTTCCTCTAGGTTTCTTGGATTGACGGTCATGCTACTGTTTGAGTTTGAAGTAGAATTGGAGTTGGAGTTGGAGGAGTTGTTGGAAGCAAAGGCATGTAGATAGTTCTGCGTTAGGCCGTGGCTGTACTGCTCACTGCTACCCATGCTGGACGTGCTGGTGGTGGAGGCACAGTGGACAAGCATACCATTTAGGGACTGGCTACGTCGGGACCAGATAACGCTCAGTTGCTTGGCGTAGCTGTAACACGTGGTGGTGGTGATTTCACCCACGTCAAAAGAGCAGCTACGCTTGGTTTTGAGCGCTTGTCTCAAGTCTGAGCTTCCTTCCCTTCCGTCATCTCCATCTTCTGTTGGTGCAAGCGAGTCCAAGACGTGTCTGTCCATGTCTTTGTCTTTCTCCAGAGACTTCCGTAACTTGAACCTACCTGCTCGATTTTGTGTCGGCGTGGGCAGTGTGTTACTTGGGGAGTAATAGAGTGTCAATCTCTCACTTTCTGGTGTAAGAGGACTAAAACATTTTTCCCTCACTGCCCTGTCACCCCTATCGCGTGTGCCATGGTGTGGCTCCGGACTCTGTTTAGGCTTTAGGAGAGAGCTGGGCTTGTGTTTGTCTTTTGTTCTTTGGGCCAAGAGTCCATTTGGCAAGGCCACCATCATCATACTGTTGTTTCCGTTCGTTTGGGCGTAAACATCCACCCCTTTGGCTGGAAAGAACTTGCCCGGCCTATTGGCATCGTCCCGACACTCTCCACAGACGCGATGGCGCACCATCATGGCCACAGTGAAGACCAGAAGGGTTACCACCACCACACCACCCACCATCACTGTCAACGTGCCGCCCAGGAAGTGAGCGTGCAGAGAACGACATTCTGGATAATCCTCTTTAGTGCTGAACTGGACGCAGCCCAGCACCTTTGTAGTAGCCAAGGAGGAGATGCCATCATCGAATATGGCCAAGACGCACAGGCTATAGTCTGCTCCTGACACCAAGTTTTTCAGCAGGAAACTATTACTGGTTGAAGGCAGAATTCTGACACCAAATAGAAAAAGAAGAGAACATTTATGAGAAATTTTAAACATTATGTCAAGGAATAATCCAGCCTGAAATACATCAAGCACAACAAGGTGAGATTTAGAAGATCAGTTTTGTAGTGAAAATGGCTTAAATCAATACCCTGCAATGAAGGGGAATCTATAAAAGAGCAAATTAAGAATGAACTACAGATGTTGTAGTTAAGGCAATGAGGCATTTTTACATTAAAGCTAAGAGGGTTCTGACATGCTTCTTGCCTGAAGGACTCCTGCCCACACTAGTCTTTACAATCTGCCATCTCTGGCAGAAACTGTGTCCGTACAGTACTCTTTAATAGACTTCATTGACCGTGTCCAGTGCATTTGCTTTGGAAGCTTGGTATATATGTCTGTAATGAAAATGCTTTGGAAGACTACACCTGATTCAAGTCCTTTAATTCACTTTACTTTAAGAGGTAATTGGCGGTTACTGCAGAAGGACCTTGAACAATTTTTAATCTCCTTTGCCCTAGTTTCAATAAGTTATTTGCCTCCTTTTCAGATTCAAGAATCTTTCGTTCAGATTTGTCAATTTTATTAATTTATTTTTCACTAAACTATTTCTTTCCTTGAGTATCCACCTCAGTAAAAAGAACTGTAGTGTTATTGAATAATTGCTGCACTGTAAGGAATCAAAGACATCTGAATTCACATTCATGTAGACTTCTCCTGTTTTTGAGCTCAGTGTGTCACTGCATATCAATGAGACATTTGCATGCTTATCTGCATGTTAACTTTCCAAATCTTATGGATGATTTGAATTGCAAGCCTTACAGGAAACCTGTCTTAATGATCTGATGTTAATGAAGCCTTACATGTTTCTCTATGAATTGTGTTGGCCAGTGATTTTGAAAATGAATTATGCAAAATTCTCCTATTATTTCCATAGGATGGTTTGCATTTTTAGACCAGTTCAGATCTCTACATGGCCATGGCAGGAATTGGAAATATTGGATATAACTTTGCATGTTGACACATATATTGTACTGCATTATGTTCTGCAACTATGAGTTTTGCCTCTCTTTTTTTTTTTAAACTGAGAAACAATATTGTTTTCTGTGGGTATTGACATTATGCCACAAATGCTGTCAATAGAGTGGAACTTGCATTGAATGTGGAGCATTGCCTTGAATGTGCAAAAATATCTAGGAAAAAGTTTATCTCTCTAGTTTAGCAGTGCACTCAAGGTGGCCAGTCAATGTGCATTAATGTCTGTCTTTTGGCCTAGAGTAGCTTTCTGTGTTTATTCTTACATATTCCTGAATGTTGATGGGAATAGCTGTAGTAACAGGTCTGTTATGAAGATGCCTGGCCTCCCACTCATCCACTTATCTGCCTGCCATCACTCAGCAACTGCTGCTACTTCTATACTACTATATATATATATATATATATATATATTCTCTCCTTGTCATCCAAACATTCCCCTCACCTTCACCATTTATTATTGATGCCAATCCCTGGAAATCCCACTGCCCCTTCCTTTTGTTAAGCCTCTCAAGATATGTTCTTACCATGCCAGAATTGTTATTGAGTGTATATGACTGAAGAGCTCTAGTAAGGTTGTAAAGGTAAAGGAAAAGGTAATGAGAAAGGAGAGTAAGATAAACAAATCAAATCGTAAAATAAAGGCTACCATGGAGGAATTTCTTTTTTTATGTCAGTAGTAGGATATTTGAATGCAAGCTGTGTTGTTTGTGCATCAAAATAATGCTGCACCGTATGCAAAAAGTATCAGTATTCATAAGTAGTTGAACTATACTCAGATGATATACTGCATCTGCTGAGATTCTGAAGCTGAAGTGTGCAAACAGTGGACATTTCACTATCCCATGAGGGAACAAAAGCTGAAAAACTATCAGGCTTGAGATGATATAAAGTCAAAGATGTTAAAAAATCAAAAAGCTGTCAGCCAAAGTTTCTTCTAATTTAAATAGTCAGAAATTGATCAAATGTATTTATACTACAAAGCTGTATGCCAGAAAAATATCAGATGTTAAAAAGTTCTTCATTGGATATACGACATAATATAAAAGTATGGGAATTTGGACACAGCCAATAACTACTGACTTCTCCAGCCTATCTAAGAAGAGTCAATGTAAGCAACTCCCACAGCCCTTCCCTTGTGAGCTGTCCCATCTCTCTGTCCCCTTTCTCCCTCCATTTAGATCCATTTCACTCTTCCTGATTCATTTTGACAGCATCTTCAAATGTGTAGGTTTTGCCCTTTTAAAGGGTCCATCCTGTTTTCCCCAGAGTCAGCATGTCCTCTCATTCCACAGCTCAGCTTTCTTTACCCCTCCCTGGCTATAAATAGATGCCTGCATGTCTTTTAGCCTCATGGCTCAACTTGAATCTTCCATCCATTTTGTGCTGTGTCTGTTTCCTTTGGCCTTATCCTTCCATCAATATCTGAAGCCTATAATCCATGAACATGAGCACCAAGGATGTTTATATGCTTTCACTTGAAACGCATGAAAACCAAACACTGAAAACCAACACATCATTTTCTCCTTTTTTGTCAAAAGTGCTGCCACAATACAGAAACAAGATGTCCTTACCTGTAAACCAGTGCGTCGTCAGCTGTGCTGTTGTACTGGATCTGATACATCCACACCAAGAAAGGCGTTGAAGATCGACCCATTTTCCAGCGAATCTGAGCTGAATTGGATGTCACACCTAGAACTCCTACCAAGGTTTTTGCTCCTCCATTACTGCTTCCACTTCCTCTTTCTCCAGTATCTGCCTTGCTTCCCGTGACATTCCGTATGGTCACCACACCAGTCCCTGCTCCTTCAACCCCTCCACGGCCACTACTAATATCGGAGGATCCAGGGTCTCTGTGGTTGATAAGAGTTATTGTACCATTCCCTCTATGAGGAAGAGGGATGATCTTCAAGTCTACCAGAGCTGTGGATTCCCCTGCAGCATTGATGGCAATGCATGTATAGGTGCCATCATCTCTGGCACGGGTCACCAAAAAGTCCAGTGTGCCATTGTAGTGTGAGTTAATGCGACTGGAGTTGGCCACAATACGGTCATCTGGTGACACCCAATGAATGACTGGCTCAGGGTCACCAATGGCTCTACATTTAAGTGTGGCTCGTTGGCCCTCCAACACCCACAGCTTGTTGGTATTACGAGTGATCAGTGGAGGCTCACACGTAAACTCTTCCTCTGGGATGGACCAGAAATATCGACCCGCCAGATGAGCAGGTGTGGCACATGTCTCCATGTCGTCTTCCCGAATCAGTCGTCGTAGCCACAACAGCTCACAGTTGCAGTGCAGGGGATTCCCTCCAAAGTTAAGGCTGATGATGGAATTGTACGGTGTTGGACTGACAACCCCAATTTGGGATCTGGAAAACAGTGGATCAGGGGGAAGAGTCTGCAGTCTGTTTGAGGTCATATCCAGTCGGGACAGTTTGTAGAGCTCACTGAAAGAACCCTCAGCAACCTGGTCTATTAGATTGTGATCTAGATTTAAGGTGTGCAGGCTAGCCATATTCTGAATAGAATCCCAAGGAACTCTACGAAGGTTGTTGTAGGAAAGGTCCAGATCCTCCAGAGTTAGTAGGAAGTCATCAAAAGCATCCGCCGAAACATCTGTGAGCTGATTGTTGTTGATGATGAGATGCTGAAGGTTAATAAGACCTGTCAGGTCCTGAGGTCCCACTACTGTGAGACGGTTGGTGTCCAGGTGAAGTGAACGCAGACTCTCCAGATCAGCAAAGGCCAGTGGTTTTAGAGCATGTATGGTGTTGCGTGACAATGTTAGGTCAACTAGTCCTGTCATATTGGCAAAGTCTGCACCTCCCACTTCCAGGATGTAGTTGTCAGCAAGACGCAGCTCCACAGTGCGGCGATCAATGTTTGGTGGCACGAAAAGCAGGCCTTTATTAACACACAGTGTGCTCAGAGACTCTGATAAGTTCCGACACACGCAATGGATGGGGCAGATGGACACCATGCCCCATGTCTCCCCTGCCGACACACCTTGTCCGCTCCGCAGCAGTATGAAGCCTAGAAGACCCAGCCAGAACATTGTTATTTGTGGCATGGGACAGGGGCGGACACGTATTGTGCTGACAGGGATAGATGAAGCAAGATATCTCCTTGATTGGATCCATTTCGAGCTCTCCTGTTCTTGCAACAGATTGGTTCCTCTGGATGGACTCCCCGGTTCTGTGTGTTGCATGGTAACCAGGTTGTCCACAGACCTGTGTAAAGAGAACAGACATTAGTGGCTTCAACTCATAACTTCTTGTTAAGAATTTGGAGAAGCTGAGCCCTATCTCCCCCAATCCTAAGCCTGCTTGTCCATTCAATAATCCCCAGCACAAATGCGGTTATTCATTAATTGCCACTGAGACTTGGTGTTATGCCTAATCATTCATCCAGTATAAGCTCACTTCATCTTACAGTGTATCAAAGAGGAGCTAATCGTGAGCTAATCTACCAGTGTCCATTGCTTCAGATTAATGGTCTACCTGGAATCCTTTGTCAGTTGTTTAGATTTCAAGGCATTTATCATGTATCCAGCAAGTGTAGCAAGAACCTTAAACTTTTCCCCTGGTTTGTGAGTGAAAGAGAGACTCGATTTGGCTGCCAGGGACAAGCACCAAGATGATCAGTCACATTCTAATTGATGAATGCCTTGGCTGTCTTCTCATCGCAGATGTGAGATTATGTGGCTGTTGCTGTGGCTGTGTGTGCAGACACAGTGCATCTATTTACCCAAGTCTTATGTCCTTCTGTTTGTTCTCCCTGCTGCTCCCTGCTCTCCTACAGGGGTCTGATTACTCCTTTAACCTGATACATAACTGTCTGTGTGTGTTTGGTCTGTCGCACACATTGACAGACATGCTCCAACCAACCAGTGCAAGGACAGTAGGGAACAACACAAGCTGCAATGAGTGTGCAAATGTTTGATTGATTTCACATGACCAAAACCCTGTGATATGTAATGCACAACTGTCCCTAAACATTTGCAAATGCTTGACTTGGTTTAATTAGTCCATCAGTCGCCATCAATAAAGTGTAATGCTGATGCTTCTATTTGTTTTTTACGTGATTTTGGCCTGTTCATTTCAGTCTTACATAATGGCTCTAGTGTCACACTCGCAAAGCAGTTTTTAAAACAAGTGTGTGTATGCAAGTGAGCAAGGGAGAGATCAAGAGATAAGATGGGGCAGCGTAGAGAGTAGAGTTATATCCTATAAATAACCCCATGTGCAATTGGCTCAAAGCTGTATGTGTGCAAATTTGCTATAAAGAATGAAAACCCAGTGGACTTCATATTCATTGTGCTGAATCTGGAATTACACACTGTAAATATTCTGCAAACATTTGACAAACCTCATGAGCTTCTACCTGCCAGCAGTAGGATATTTTGTGCATGGAAGAGAAAGGAGAAAAATTACTGTCATTTTTCATACCTGTTTGTGTCTGTTTCATCAAGATTTAAAATGGTTTCCAATCCTTTCAGTTCCTTTATAGACAATCTGCCCAGCTAGTCCCATCATTGCTTCAGATTAAAATCTAGAGTGAAACACTGTGGAAATATTCAGGTGTGCTGAGGGTCGATTTGTTCCTCATAGTTAATTGCTGAAAATCATGATGATGTGAATTTGATCTGTGGTCAAATGGAAGACTTACTGACAGTCACATCCTCACTGCCTTGTCGTTCCTTTCTTCACCATGAGTCACTGCCCCGTTTCCATAATCCTTAGTGAACCTCAGTTAATCGGAATTGGGTATGTCTGGATTGTTTTTTCCCACCTTGATTTTCATTAGGAAATTCATCCAAAATTCTCCTTTGTTTCACAGCATTTTAAAAGTCAGAATCCAGTGAAAGCTTTTTTTTATTCAAATCTTCTTTTATTTGTAAAGGTGCTTCCAGCAGCAAGTGGCTTCCAATCCATTTCATCTCTGAGTGAACTGCCAAAAGAAACAAAAATCCCTCTTAATAAATATTTAACTAATATTAAAAGCTCACATTCTTTTTTTTTTTATTGTCAGCCTAATTTTGTTCTCTCATTTCTCTTGCATAGACCTTTAGCTCAGATGCCACATCTTAAAGTGGAAAGCATGTTGTGTAATGTTCATGTCTGTTTGCTGATGTCGGCGTCTTATACTATTGAGGATCCTAAATGAATTGATTCTTCCTGTAAACTGGCGCATTAAAGCAAATAATCCAATTAGACCTGCTTTCAAGCAGACCCGGTGGGTCTGGCTGAGCCAAATATGTGTGTATGTGTGTGCACACTCTTGTCTAGATGGACGTGAAGTCTATACACTAATTTTACTGCATGATTCCCTCCTAATTGTTTTCTCTCTAATCCACCATGAACTGTTGTAGTCTTTCTACTCTGTCTTAACTATCTTATTATCTCTGTCTCCACTAATCCTCAACCTCTCCTAAATACCTATAGGGTGAAGGCAAACATATACCAACCTTTTTTATTTCCAAATTCCTGCTTATGTCCATCCAAGAGAACTGCTGCCCTCTCCAGGGGTCTCTTTCCCTCTACATCCTCTCAGGTTCCTCAGGGAGGGATTTTGGGTAGCATCCTCACCCCTCGCTTCTCTCCCCACAGCTTCTTTGTTTTTACTTTTGCAAACGGTCCTGGGAAACCCTGCCCGCAAAGTAGGAAACCATCACCTACAGACACGAAGAACCTTCATATAACCATGCGGTTGAGTCCTCACCGATGTCGCTTATTGCCATCAATCAATGCCTCGTTTTTGCTTTTTCGTTCCTGCTCCGTATTCTTGAACTGCGTGAGTCTGTGATTTGTTGGTTCTGATGCAGAGAGCAAGTCGTTGCGAGTGCAAGCGTTTGCGACTGCAATGTGTCTGCTACAGCAAGGGCAGAGTGAGCGGGAGGGAGGGAAGAGAAAACGAGAGAGAGAGGGAAAGGGAGGGAGGAAGGAGGGAGGGGGGGTGGTTGGAGTGTCAGAGCCTGAAGCAGTCTTGGCTCTTGGTATGAGGGGAGAGATGAAATGCAAGGGTAAAAATGGCAGATTGAGAGTGCATTGGCTAACTGGGGTGTGAGGTTGGATCTGGAGAGGAATTGCCCAAAGCTTTGTCCCTCTGACAGTACATTTTCAACAGCAGGGCACCATCGGCGGGCAGACACGCTAAGAACTTTTGTCACCAATTCTCCCATAGAGTTGATTTTCACCTACTGTAAATGGCATAAAATGGATAAGAGCAGATGATTTTGAGAACTTTTTGAGGTGGTGCAACAAAGGCATTCTGATGCCCTTGACGGGACATGACATGGGTCCAGTCCCATCCACCATCATTGACTGTATTTTTGCTTTTTAAGTGGAAAAAAAAACACTTGAAATTTGTATTAAAAAAATAAAATAAATTAAATGCATGAACTTTCAAATAACAATGAAAACAGTAACACCTTTAACAGTAATGTTCAATTTGTTAACATTAATGTATGCAGTAGGCATTCTGAACTAATAATGATTTTTATTCATAATAAGTTGAAAATATGCTATGTGCTATGTTGTTAATTTGTGAATATTCATAATACATAACTAATGTTAACTTGAAATGTTACAATGTGTTAGTATAATAGTTTTGGGTCTGTCAGATTTTTTAAAAGATGTTTTTCAAAGTCTCATGCTTACCAAGGCTGGATTTATTTGATCAAAAATACATTAAAAACAGTAATACTGTGAAATATTAATACAATTTAAAATAGCAGTTTTTTTTAGTTTAATATATTTTATGTAATGTATTCATGATGGCAAAGCTGAATTTTACTAAAAGACTAAATTGCTCAAGTCTTCAGTGTCACATAATCTTTCAGTAATCATTATATGCTGATTTTGTGCTCAAGAAATGGTTCAAACCATTGAAAACAGATGTGCTGCTTAAAAGGAAAGTGCTTTTTTTCAGGTTTCTTTGAATAGAAAAGTTCAAAAGTACAGCATTTATTCAAAGTAGAAATCTTTTGTAACATTATAAATGTCTTTACTGACATTTTTGATCAACTTAAAGGGGTCATATGATGTTGCTAAAAAGAACATTATTTTGTGTATTTGGTGTAATGAAATGTGTTTATGCGGTTTAAGGTTAAAAAAACACATTATTTTCCACATACTGTACATTATTGTTTCTCCTCTATGCCCCGCCTTTCTGAAACGCGTCGATTTTTACAAAGCTCATCAGTCTGAAAAGCGAGGTGTGCTCTGATTGGCCAGCTATCCAGTGTGTTGTGATTGACCGAATACCTCAAGCGTGTGACGGAAATGTTACGCCCCTTACCATACTGTGATGCCGTGTCCTGGAGCGACGAGACAAAAACATTAAAACCCATTATAAACGAGGCATTTGTTGCATCCAGTGGGGACATAATTACAGATTATAATGACTTATACTGTCATAAAACCATGTCTGCATTTGTGATCGGAGAAACGACAAACAACAAGTGCTATTCTACACTGCCCAAAGCTCACGTTTGAATCATGAGTGGCAAATTCTTTAAATATGAAAACGTACTTACAGACTGTGAGTCAGAACAGCCGGCATTGTAGGCTACTCTGCAGGTTCAGGAAACAGTCCTCCATAAAATGCGCTGCACACATCTTAATATTTGGGTTGAAGTGTTCTGGAACAGTGTTGTAAATACAACTTAACCACTGATTTCTAGTCGTGTCCTCTTTTGGAAGGCCAAACAGTAGTTTTGCAACGAAACACAGTGTCTTCACAACATGGCGGCGGTGGTGGCAGCAACAATAAAGTTACGCCTTCTTTCTTTGCATGAACATTTGGGTGGTGTTATGCAAATCTTCCCACATCGTGACGTAGACATATGGGGGCGTGTTTGAACGAGGCGTTTTAGGAGGGCGTGGACAAGCCTTAACTTTTATAAAGAATATCTCTTTGGATTTGAGACTTTAGTCTTTGCAACTTTAGGGATCTTATCTATTCACAAACAGCTTGTAACACTCCAAAGAGAAAGGAAAACTTGAAATCGCATCATATGACCCCTTTAATGCATCCTAAAAAGCATACATTTCTGCCAAAAAAAAAAAATCCTACTGATCCAAAAGTTTTGAAAGGAAGTGAATGTAGGAACAGTTAATAAATGCTGAAAAAGTATTGTACCTGTTGCGTTAAATAAAGTTAACAAATTGAATCTTGTTGTAAATTGTTAGCCTAAAAACAATGTCTTAATCCAGTGATTCTTCTTGCTGTTGATGCAGGCGGTCATGGGTTCAAATCTAAATCATGAGAGAGCTGTTCTTATAAGCTGAGCTGTTTAATCATCTTATGAGCGTGAGGCTAATACAGCTTTACACGGCCAGCAAAGTTGAGAAGTAGAGAAGGAGCCAAAGATGTTCAGTCCAAGTTACACTTTTTCTCTGTTTTTCATGTTCTATATCTGATTCCCATAACCTTTGTTTTTCTTGGGTCTGTGATTTTTAGGTGAGCATGAGTCACTCAGTCTTTATGTGGGTCTATATATAGAGGCCTAACTGCATGGAAGCACAGCTAAGCGGACGACACACAACATTGCCAACAGCCCGCTGTAGCCCAGCTCCACACACACTTGGAGCATGTAACCGATGGGCTCAGAGACTGCTAAACCTAGCTGCTGCTGATGTATCAGACTCTAGATTTAGCCGGTGAGCCAAAATCAGTCTTGGTTCAGTTAAATCATGTTTCCAAAAATGACAAGTCGTGAATAATACATTTAAGGACCATAAGACAAATATGAATGATTCATGTGTGTATGTACATTGTGCCAGCATAAAAAAGATACTGCAACTACTGGATCCAAGCCACAACTAATTGCTATGAAAGAGTGATTCCCAAGCAGGGGTACGTACACCCCGGGGGGGAACTTAAGAAGCAGGTTACTGTAAGATTTAGTTTTTGGTTCGTGAACCTGTAGGTGAGAATTTACAACTTAAAATATTGGGGCTGTAATGAATTCATTTCCGTTTTAATGTAACTAAATAATATGTGTGGTTTGACAATTAATCGGGACATTTATTTTGTAGTAAAATATGCACTATTGTTCAAAAGTTTAGGGTTAGGAAGTTTTTTTTTAATTGCAAAGACTTTAACACTTTTATTCAACAAGGATGGATTAAATTGTTCAAAAGTAACATTAAAGACTTGTACATTGTTCCAAAAAAATATATAATATATTTTTTTAAATATTGAGTTTTCTATTCATCGAAGAATCCTGGAATAAATGTATCCTGGTTTCCACAAAAATATTAAGCAGCACAACTGTTTTCAACAGTGATGATAAAATAATAAGAAATGTTTTTGAGCATCAAATCAGCCAGCCTGGTCTCATGTTTATACGTAGGTGTTAATATGTAACATTTAGAAGCACAAAACGTACACTTTTGTACGTTTTTATTAATGCTAAAACGTACAATTTAGACATATTTCAACATTTAAAACGTACAAATCGCTACTTATTTTTAGCAAAAAAATTTACAAATATTTACGTATCTTTCATATCAAGATATTCATATCAATGCATTTTTATAATTTTATCTGTAAGCGATTAAAATTTGTAGACCCCTTAACCTTACCCCCAAACCTAAACCTACCCATTTTATAGCGAATATGCATTTTTATCATTTTATTAATACGCAATTTAGATTTTTAGACCCCTTAACCTACACCCAAACCTTAACCTAACGTTACCCATATAGTGAATATAAAAGGATATAAAACGCAAATGACTGAAATACGCAGGAAAATAACCATTTTAGTAACAATATAGCATTAAAATATTTTTATAGTCGCTAATTCCACTCCTACCTATAAACCTAAATATTTCTGTACACTATAAGAAAAACATGACAGACAGATAAATGCAATTACAATCATTTATTTATTGCAAAAATGTCAAAAGCAGTACCAAAAGTAATCCAAATGACGATGCGTTGCACCCGCAGTCCTCTCTGGCAGAATACAGTAGGTTTGTGTGATTCAGAGCAGAATTTATGTTGTTAATCGCTGAAAATATTATCCAGATAATTTTTCCGATCCACTCCGTGAACACGTGAAGGTGCGTGCGCATCATTCAAACACAGAAACACGGCATGTCGCAGTCTGTGACGAATGCAGGCGAGAGCCAATGAGCGTTTGATTATCCTGCCGTAAAATCTGTCGTTTGAAGCGGCAACATTTGAATTTGTAAAGAGCGCATCAGTCAGCGCGGGCTTTGCTGCTCACGGTCACTGGACTCGCTGCTCGGGATGGAGAAGCAAGCAGATCGCTGAAAGAAGGCTTGGATTTGGGTCTGTTCTTCGCAGTCCTAAAATAATAAAATTGTTTCATTTCGTAATTATGTTGCGTTTTTGGTGTATTTTATAGTTCTATTGTCTGTCACAGCATGTCGGAGAAAACGATAACGAAATGTTATCATTTCATAAGTAAATGAGTAAACAATTTAATAATGCAATTGAAAACAAGGTAATTCATATGACAACTAAAAACTAATAAAATTAATGCCGCGATTTCAATATTCAAAAGGATTCGTTTTTAGGTGTCGTCAATACGTCAGTTTTGTACGTTTAAATGCTGATAATATGTAAGTATTTGTATGTTTAGAGGTTGAAAATATGTCAGTATTGTACGTTTTAGTGCCTGTAAAAACGTACGTAAATGTACGTTTTATAGAACCACATTTTACGTAAAATACATACGAATTATCATGAGATCACGTTGAATCAGCATACTGAAATAATTTCTGAAGGATCATTATTATTTAAAAATAAATATATAGATATTTTTAAGTGTATAAAAATAGAAAACAGTTACTTTAAATTGTAAGAATATTTTACTGCAATAATAGTATTTTAGTATATTTAACAGTGTTACCGTTTTTACTGTATTTCAAATAAAGCATAAGACTGCATTCAAAAACATAAAAAAATCTTACCGACACCAACTTTTTAAACAGTAGTGCATGTGTTTATATGAACAATGCAAATCTGCAATATTTAAATATAACAATTACCGTTTCCTCACAATTTGAGGACTTAATCTTATGTACTATTTCTGAAAGATGTTTTTGCTGCTGGTGACTTTCTCATTTACATTTGTATAAAATTATGATGCATTTTGCTGATGGGTGATATTTCATAATTGTTGCGGTTTGAAAGATGAAAATAAAAATAATGTCTTGAATTTAATTAAGCACCCCATGTGGATTTTACTTATGAATAAATTTGCTCCTAGGTCTTTCTCAGTTTCTCAGTCGATTGCCCTCAGAATTGTCAAAACTTGTGGAAGACTTCATTATAATAATGGTAGCTTTCATAGTAATAATTTGCTATCATGTGAATATAATATTAATTAAGAGGAAAACATTTCTAGTTTGGTGTTGTTTAAGGCATATTTGAGTCTTTCTAATGAGGCTGTGGAGACACAGAAGGTTGGGAAACAGAGCAAAGCACAGTGGACTTGAGATATTTCAGCACCCTGGACAGCTCTAAACTCTGAGCTAGTCAAATTGGTTAAATCTGAGAGACTACGTTGTGATATCGCCATCTGTACTTCCATCTGTCTTGTTAGACAGGTCCCATGGTTGGATGGTTGGCATTGTAACTGCTCATTTTAACCCTGTATTCTTCGATGTGGTTGCTCTTTATTTCTAAATGTAAAAATCCAGACAGGTAGCCGTGAATACTATATATTCACAGCCTGTCTGTGCTTAAATGTTTAAACTCCAGTGATTTCTCTTTCCCGCTCTCTCTTATTCTCTTTCTTCCCTAACTTTATCCAGCCATTGTGGCGAGCTTGTGGGCAATAAACTGTTTCCAACGATGCCCAGTGGTTTACCACTAAACAACACTGTCCAAGCAAAGCTGTAAAAAGATATTTCCTTTACCAGCCCAGAGAAGCTCTTGATTATTGTGGATTTATGTGCATGCTTGTGCTCTTCAGGAATATTGTACAATTGCACATCCTTCTTGGAAATACTAATATAGTTAACTACATAATGTAGTATGATTTATAATAATAAGGCTTAATTCATGGTCAATATTTGCACTTCTGTTACTTAGTATATGGTCCTCCCTTCTCCATAAAGAAAAGACTCATGAATTGGGCATTGTCTTTTAGTTCAGCGAGTCAAATTTGTTTGTTACCTGGAGGCAGCACAGTACCATAGAGGGTTAACCACTTGCTGCCTGTCAGCTACAGTAGTTGCAGTGGTTTTCACTACATCTGTATGCATCTTGTTGTACGAGTATGTAAAGTCTGTAGCTTCAGGCACTTTGTCAAATGCAACATTAAGTAGTTCAGTGTCTCCTGCATTGTTTCTATATGTCTGCATGAGCTCTGTATATAAAGCATACAGTGTATGCACTTAGTTAAAAGTTTGGACACACTTGACTGAATTTGTATTTCAGTCTTAAATTAAAGGAATAATTTACCCAAAATGAAAATTCTGTCATTGTTTACTCATTCTCATGTCATTCCAAACATTTTTACTTCTGTTACACATGAAAGATATTTTGCGAAATGTCACAGTGTTTTTTTTTTTTTTAAGTCAATGGTGTCCAACATTGTCTGGATACTAACATTCTTTGAAAATATCTTCTGTTTTTCACTGAAGGAAGTAAGTCATACAGGTTTGGAGGGACATCATGCTGAATAAATGATGACAGAATTTACATTTTTGTCTAAACTATCCCTTTACGTTCAACTAATGATTTGCCACAAAATGTAGAGCTTTTTTTATGTATAAATAATGTATAAATTGTATCAATGTATGAATTCCTTAAAAAAAAAAAAAATTATTAATTTTGTTCAATGGACAAGTTGGACAAGATAACGAAGGAAAGCCAACAATTGTCCAGAATATATGGAAACACATTCAGTTTAAGAAGTATCTCAGGATATGCCTCAAATATACAGTGCTGCTTGAAAATTTCTGCGTAAATATGACCCAAAAGATCATCAGATTTTCACACAAGTTCTAAAAGTTGACAGAGAATGCAATCAAGCAAATGAGACAAAAATATATACTTTGTCATTTATTTATTCTGGAAAATGATCTCTAATGATCTGTGAGTGGTGATTCTCTGTCAACTTTCAGAACTTTTGGGTCATATTTACGCAGAAATACAGAAAATTGTGAAGGGTTCACAAAATTTCAAGCAGCACTGTAAGATAGTTTTGGTTTCTTTAAATAATTTTTTCTCTACATATTTCCCATACTTCCATTTTCATTTCATGGTTTTGATGACTTCACTATTATTCTAAAATGTTGAAAATAGTAATTAGAATGAGTAGATGTGTCAACTTTTTGATTGGTAGTGTCGGCCCTATTTTTCAAGATGGAAGTAAGCTATTTTCTGTAATTGTCATGTGATTCTTTAGGTATATATGACACAGTACAGTATACAGTAAAACTATTTGCAAAACAAACCATAGTGTCCATGATTGTTGTAACAAATTAAAATATGATAACATACCAACATCAAGCAGCATAACAGACAGGTTTTGTACATCTAACTGACACCAGAAGTCTTGTGCATTCAAGGTAAAAATGACTGCGTCTGCTTTTACATTAAAAATAAGGTGCATACAATGTGCTTTGGGTTTGAAATGCTTAGTTTGTTTTATGAGAGGAATAATGTAAACGTTTGGAATGAGGAGGAATCCTGCAGTTAGAAGAATCTGGGTCAGAGTGCTGGCGGATTAGAGCCGACTCTTTCCAACTCTCAATTCTTGGGAGAAGATTTGGACTCGGCCTCTCTTTTGGTTTCTTTTCTTCCTCATCCTCGATCTCTCCTTCACTTCTTCTCTTAAGGTCTCTGCTAAACTCTAGTGTGAATCAACATGTGATGTGTATGTATGTAAGTGGCAAGGGTGCAAAAGCCAAGTGCTAAAACTATAGCGTTTCAATTAACACTTTGCTTATTCTGTTAATCTCTCACATCTGCTCCCTCTTCAACCTTCTGATTTCATACCCTGTCTTTCATGTCTGTCTATCTGAACCTTTAATTATCTCCCCTTCTCCAGCTGCCATTGGAGTCCATTATCGACAGTCAGGCTAATGGATTCTGGAAAATCCTTCATGTTCGGCCGTTGGTTTCAGCTCAGAGCACCACAGGAACGCATGTAGCTATATCAAGAATACAGGACTTGTAATGTATTGCATGTCAGCTCAGTATATTGAGTTGTTTCTTCATGCTGTAACAGTGAGCACAGTTTCCTCAGTGACCTGAGCCCAAAGGCAGGTTTGATAGTGATGGAAGGGAGTATTGAGCGTTTAGATAATGGTATTGATTTTAGAACTGCCTACCGAATGGCCCCATCTGCCCTATGTAGGACCATTAAAACCTAAGCTCAGATCGTGTGAGAGCACAGTCTTGGATTGGTCTTCCTCTCTCAAGAGCTTCCCACTCTAGGCTCTCTCCAGCTTTCAGCTCATCAGTTGCACAGGACTAGTTAAAAATGTATTAATCTATTCTCTTTTCTCTCCCCAGACAAATATCCCGTTCCTCCAGAACGTGCTGAGTAATAATCAGTTCCTGAATGGGACGGTAGATACTCAGTTCATCGATGAGAATCCAGATCTCTTCAACCTCAAACCGGTGCAGAACCGAGCCCAGAAACTGCTTCACTACCTGGGTAACCCTTTGTTGAACAGTTGATTCAGTGAACATAATTCACACTTGTTTGACTGAATTTAAAGGTGCAAATTTGTTTTCTGATGTTTATTTCATATTTTATGTTTGATTCATTTCATGAGTGCTATTCGTTACTTTTAGTGTCAGAAATGAACTTTTTAAATTAGATTTGATTTGCTCCCCTGGAATTGATTATCAGAGGCATTTATACCTTAATGAGGGTATTTATTCCAAACCATAAAACACAGCATGTTGTCGATTTATGACAAAACCTCAGTTGAGCTATTTAATTGAACAAAATGTTCAGTTATGGCTGCTAAATATAAAATCAAATCAAGTAGCTTAAAATAATGCACAAGATGTCATGAAACTATAAGCCTTTATTGCACTCATTTCAACTAAACACATTATTTAATATGCCTAGAATAGTATATAATAAAAGGTCAGACAGCAGATAAAATCAAAATCCATAGAATATACTACAGGGCATTTTTGACCCCACATAGATAACATCATCTGGGACATTTTTGTCACTTTTGTTGTGTAAAATTTAAAAATGACTGAATGCATGTTTAATGCATCGGTTATCTTATTACAGATTATAAACAGCTCTCATGTTTCTATTATGAATGTTTAACATCAGTGCAACTTATACAGAGAGAATTTAACCATTTAAAAGCTAAGCATCAGTAAGATTTTTTTTTTAAAGAAATATAATACTCAACTAAACTGCATTAAATTGATCAAAAGTGAGAGTAAAGACATTTAATGTAATAAAATATTGTTATTTGAAATAATTTTTTTTGAAGTTTCTATTTAGCAGAGAAAAAAAATTAGAAAAGCACAAGCAGCATATTAGAAATATTTCTGAAAGATCATGTGATACAGACGACTGGACTAATGGCTGCTGAAAATTCAGCTTTGCATGACAAGAATAAATTGCATTTTCAAATATTTTTAAAAAGAAAGTTATTTGAAATTTTAGTAATATTTCACAATATAATGTTTTTTACTGAAGTTTTGATCAAAAAGCAGCCTTGGAGAGCATAAGATACTTCTTTTAAAATAAGAATAATATAATGAAAAATGTTCACAGTTATTTTGCATATGAACAAAAATGTATAATTTTCACCATCCCTGCTCTTTCTCAGCTGCCCTTTACAAAGTTTAAGTCAAGCCAAGAGCCAAAACCTTTTAACTAATGTGGGCTGTGCAGTCTCCAGTCCACTTGACCCATCCACTCAGTGTATTATACCAGCAGAGGTGGATTTGACTATTTGTGTGTGATTGCATTTGCTCGTCATTCAGGGCATGTTATGGTGAACGGCCCGACTACTCCGATACCTGTCAAGGCTAAGCCTTCTCCCATCGATCCGGTCATCCCACCAGTACCCCTCGGTGAGAAACACACACACACACTTTCCTTATCTTACATTCACACGCTGTCAGTTTCTCACACTACAAACTCAGCATAAGCTGCCTTTTCACTTGGTTGCCGTGATATTGCATTGATGCACTGCAGAAGGCATTAAGTAGAGTATGTTTACATCTTTCAGAAGGTGGTCATAATTCATCCCTCCCCCTCAGCGTTTCATGAAGTTACCTTTGACTATATTATATTATAATCTACATCAGGAGGAACAGAATATTAAGACGTTTGTTTACAAAAGAGCCCCTCCACCACATTTTCATTCACTTTTTTACTTCCATCTTGTGTGGATTTGTTTGGACATGTGCCAAGAGCGAAAATTTATTGTTATGATCTGGAAAAACTACTTTATTCTTTTCTGTTATAAAACTGTATGTCTATTAAGATGCACATTGTTTTGCGTTTTTGTGTCTGAATGTGAATAATAGCCCTGATAAAACTTGTTTATTTTCCTTTGTAGTCCTACACAGCGTGGTGTTAATAATGTCTGTATTATTAATTGGCAGTTTGTGTGTTTGTATGCACTCTGCAGGTGAGCCACCAGTGGGTTTCAGGGATGTGTTGCTGAGAGAGGGTCCAGATGGTTTTGCGAAGACGGTACGTGCCCACCAGGGTCTGCTGCTTATGGACACTACGTTCAGAGACGCCCACCAGTCCCTCCTGGCCACTCGTGTACGCACTCACGACCTCAAACGGATTGCACCTTTTGTGGCTCACAGCTTCAGTAACCTCTTCAGCGTGGAAAACTGGGGAGGTGTGGTATTAGTTCGACACTATTGTTTTCTTTCCTTCTCATTCTTTCTCTCTCTCCCTTCCTCCCTCCCTCCCTCCCTCCCTATTTTTTGCCTTACCGCTCTCATGCATTCTGGCAGCAAACCCAGCCTACTATTCTCCAGCTCGAATATTTGCCTCATTCCAGCTGAATAACACAGATCGATCAAATACCAGTGAAGCCAGGGTCTGGTTTTGATTGCTCTTAATGACTCTGGATGTTTTAGTACTTTTAAGGAATAAACTTTTGTTAAAAATAAATGCAATTCCATTGTTAAATTGTTTGATGATTTCACTAATAAATAAGTTTAAACATTTTTTTTTTTGCAAAAGGTGTGTTTACACAGGCTTTTCCTAGGTACCATAAATCAAATAAAACAGAAATAGTAAGCAACTACTACTGGACTAGACTACTACTAGATACATGTTGGCATATGAATTATGGATATTTGAAACTATTAAAAGTTTTCACTGAAATAAAATATAAACATTAGATGAGAAACCTAAACTGAAATGAAAAAGTAAGCGAAAATGAGAAATAAAACCAAACTTAAAATAAATCAAATAGGAAAAAAATATATAAAAATGACAAAGCACATTCAAAATTTCTAAAACTAAAACTGTGTGTTGGTTCATTTCTGGAATCAAAGTGTGGACTTACAGTATGATTCCAATAGGAAGGTGCTTTACATGCTTCTTAGAGTTTTCCACATCTGTTCCTCCAATGCTGGATATTCTGATCCTCTTATTTATTTTTTGTGTCCTGTCTCTCTTTCTTCTTCACCAGGCGCTACTTTTGACGTGGCAATGCGTTTCCTATGTGAGTGTCCCTGGAAAAGGCTTCAAGAGTTGAGGGCTCTGATGCCAAATGTGCCTTTTCAGATGCTTCTGAGAGGTGCCAACGCCGTTGGATATACCAACTACCCTGACAATGCCGTCTTCAAGTGAGTCATGTGGTATCTTACACCACAACCTGCTCACAGTCTGAATGAACTTCTCAAATGTTAATCTTTTTACTGACGGGAATCCCAAGGAATTAAAAGTTCTGATTCATACTCCACTTACAGTAATGGTTATTTTCATACCTTCGAGAAAGCACGTGAGGAATCAAATTGGAAAGGACTATTTTTCTTGTTTGTCAATATTTTAAAAAACCGGCTCATTTGAGTCATTTGTTCATCAGAATCAGAATCAGAATCAGAATGAGTTTTCATGAATTGCTTGCTATAACTTTGTATTGCATTCAATAGTAAATTATTTTGCCATTACACTATAGATTCAGGAACAGCACAATGCTGCTGCTGAATAGCGACACATGAAACACTGACAGAGTATTTTAATATGGTTTCCCACCCACTTCAGCGGAAGAATGCAGACATTAACGAACAAACTGAAAAATCATTCAGTTCCACTATTTGTTAGAAAACCCCTTTGTCTTCACTAGCTTTTGCCTTCTCCATTTGTTTCTTGCTGCCACTGACTCTGGCCCCAAGCACCATTCAGATGGCTTTTAATTCATATTAGAATGTGGAACTGGGGAGCATTTGTGCTCATTTAATGGCTTTGTTTCAGACCTACCATAAAATGGCTGCTACTAGTTTCCATTCAGCATTTTCAATGGCAAAATAAACAAATGTAAGTCTTATGGATCAAAAATCTCCCATAAAATGTAGGCAACTGACATTTTGATGGGCCCTAATACTTGCTTAAATCAGGTAGGAGAGCAAAGCTAACGGGAATCTTCTAAACCTCCCCTAAGTAAACAAACCAGTGTTATTTTAATATTATTTATATGCTAATATTTTGAATTAGCTTTTTTGTATTTTCATTTTGTTTTATTTTTATCAATTTTGTAATGTGCTTTTGTCATTTTATTTGTTTTTTTTTTTTTTATAAAAATGCTATTTCACTTTATTTTTATTTCAGTTTAATTTGTCATTTTAGTAACATTTTGACAAAACCTCAGTTGAGCTATTTAATTGAACAAAATGTTCAGTTATGGCTGCTAAATATAAAATCAAATCAAGTAGCTTAAAATAATGCACAAGATGTCATGAAACTATAAGCCTTTATTGCACTCATTTCAACTAAACACATTATTTAATATGCCTAGAATAGTATATAATAAAAGGTCAGACAGCAGATAAAATCAAAATCCATAGAATATACTACAGGGCATTTTTGACCCCACATAGATAACATCATCTGGGACATTTTTGTCACTTTTGTTGTGTAAAATTTAAAAATGACTGAATGCATGTTTAATGCATCGGTTATCTTATTACAGATTATAAACAGCTCTCATGTTTCTATTATGAATGTTTAACATCAGTGCAACTTATACAGAGAGAATTTAACCATTTAAAAGCTAAGCATCAGTAAGATTTTTTTTTTAAAGAAATATAATACTCAACTAAACTGCATTAAATTGATCAAAAGTGAGAGTAAAGACATTTAATGTAATAAAATATTGTTATTTGAAATAATTTTTTTTGAAGTTTCTATTTAGCAGAGAAAAAAAATTAGAAAAGCACAAGCAGCATATTAGAAATATTTCTGAAAGATCATGTGATACAGACGACTGGACTAATGGCTGCTGAAAATTCAGCTTTGCATGACAAGAATAAATTGCATTTTCAAATATTTTTAAAAAGAAAGTTATTTGAAATTTTAGTAATATTTCACAATATAATGTTTTTTACTGAAGTTTTGATCAAAAAGCAGCCTTGGAGAGCATAAGATACTTCTTTTAAAATAAGAATAATATAATGAAAAATGTTCACAGTTATTTTGCATATGAACAAAAATGTATAATTTTCACCATCCCTGCTCTTTCTCAGCTGCCCTTTACAAAGTTTAAGTCAAGCCAAGAGCCAAAACCTTTTAACTAATGTGGGCTGTGCAGTCTCCAGTCCACTTGACCCATCCACTCAGTGTATTATACCAGCAGAGGTGGATTTGACTATTTGTGTGTGATTGCATTTGCTCGTCATTCAGGGCATGTTATGGTGAACGGCCCGACTACTCCGATACCTGTCAAGGCTAAGCCTTCTCCCATCGATCCGGTCATCCCACCAGTACCCCTCGGTGAGAAACACACACACACACTTTCCTTATCTTACATTCACACGCTGTCAGTTTCTCACACTACAAACTCAGCATAAGCTGCCTTTTCACTTGGTTGCCGTGATATTGCATTGATGCACTGCAGAAGGCATTAAGTAGAGTATGTTTACATCTTTCAGAAGGTGGTCATAATTCATCCCTCCCCCTCAGCGTTTCATGAAGTTACCTTTGACTATATTATATTATAATCTACATCAGGAGGAACAGAATATTAAGACGTTTGTTTACAAAAGAGCCCCTCCACCACATTTTCATTCACTTTTTTACTTCCATCTTGTGTGGATTTGTTTGGACATGTGCCAAGAGCGAAAATTTATTGTTATGATCTGGAAAAACTACTTTATTCTTTTCTGTTATAAAACTGTATGTCTATTAAGATGCACATTGTTTTGCGTTTTTGTGTCTGAATGTGAATAATAGCCCTGATAAAACTTGTTTATTTTCCTTTGTAGTCCTACACAGCGTGGTGTTAATAATGTCTGTATTATTAATTGGCAGTTTGTGTGTTTGTATGCACTCTGCAGGTGAGCCACCAGTGGGTTTCAGGGATGTGTTGCTGAGAGAGGGTCCAGATGGTTTTGCGAAGACGGTACGTGCCCACCAGGGTCTGCTGCTTATGGACACTACGTTCAGAGACGCCCACCAGTCCCTCCTGGCCACTCGTGTACGCACTCACGACCTCAAACGGATTGCACCTTTTGTGGCTCACAGCTTCAGTAACCTCTTCAGCGTGGAAAACTGGGGAGGTGTGGTATTAGTTCGACACTATTGTTTTCTTTCCTTCTCATTCTTTCTCTCTCTCCCTTCCTCCCTCCCTCCCTCCCTCCCTATTTTTTGCCTTACCGCTCTCATGCATTCTGGCAGCAAACCCAGCCTACTATTCTCCAGCTCGAATATTTGCCTCATTCCAGCTGAATAACACAGATCGATCAAATACCAGTGAAGCCAGGGTCTGGTTTTGATTGCTCTTAATGACTCTGGATGTTTTAGTACTTTTAAGGAATAAACTTTTGTTAAAAATAAATGCAATTCCATTGTTAAATTGTTTGATGATTTCACTAATAAATAAGTTTAAACATTTTTTTTTTTGCAAAAGGTGTGTTTACACAGGCTTTTCCTAGGTACCATAAATCAAATAAAACAGAAATAGTAAGCAACTACTACTGGACTAGACTACTACTAGATACATGTTGGCATATGAATTATGGATATTTGAAACTATTAAAAGTTTTCACTGAAATAAAATATAAACATTAGATGAGAAACCTAAACTGAAATGAAAAAGTAAGTGAAAATGAGAAATAAAACCAAACTTAAAATAAATCAAATAGGAAAAAAATATATAAAAATGACAAAGCACATTCAAAATTTCTAAAACTAAAACGTCTAAAAGTTCATTTCTGGAATCAAAGTGTGGACTTACAGTATGATTCCAATAGGAAGGTGCTTTACATGCTTCTTAGAGTTTTCCACATCTGTTCCTCCAATGCTGGATATTCTGATCCTCTTATTTATTTTTTGTGTCCTGTCTCTCTTTCTTCTTCACCAGGCGCTACTTTTGACGTGGCAATGCGTTTCCTATGTGAGTGTCCCTGGAAAAGGCTTCAAGAGTTGAGGGCTCTGATGCCAAATGTGCCTTTTCAGATGCTTCTGAGAGGTGCCAACGCCGTTGGATATACCAACTACCCTGACAATGCCGTCTTCAAGTGAGTCATGTGGTATCTTACACCACAACCTGCTCACAGTCTGAATGAACTTCTCAAATGTTAATCTTTTTACTGACGGGAATCCCAAGGAATTAAAAGTTCTGATTCATACTCCACTTACAGTAATGGTTATTTTCATACCTTCGAGAAAGCACGTGAGGAATCAAATTGGAAAGGACTATTTTTCTTGTTTGTCAATATTTTAAAAAACCGGCTCATTTGAGTCATTTGTTCATCAGAATCAGAATCAGAATGAGTTTTCATGAATTGCTTGCTATAACTTTGTATTGCGTAAATTATTAAATTATTTTGCCATTACACTATAGATTCAGGAACAGCACAATGCTGCTGCTGAATAGCGACACATGAAAGAGTATTTTAGTATTTTAATATGGTTTCCCACCCACTTCAGCGGAAGAATGCAGACATTAACGAACAAACTGAAAAATCATTCAGTTCCACTATTTGTTAGAAAACCCCTTTGTCTTCACTAGCTTTTGCCTTCTCCATTTGTTTCTTGCTGCCACTGACTCTGGCCCCAAGCACCATTCAGATGGCTTTTAATTCATATTAGAATGTGGAACTGGGGAGCATTTGTGCTCATTTAATGGCTTTGTTTCAGACCTACCATAAAATGGCTGCTACTAGTTTCCATTCAGCATTTTCAATGGCAAAATAAACAAATGTAAGTCTTATGGATCAAAAATCTCCCATAAAATGTAGGCAACTGACATTTTGATGGGCCCTAATACTTGCTTAAATCAGGTAGGAGAGCAAAGCTAACGGGAATCTTCTAAACCTCCCCTAAGTAAACAAACCAGTGTTATTTTAATATTATTTATATGCTAATATTTTGAATTAGCTTTTTTGTATTTTCATTTTGTTTTATTTTTATCAATTTTGTAATGTGCTTTTGTCATTTTATTTGTTTTTTTTTTTTTTATAAAAATGCTATTTCACTTTATTTTTATTTCAGTTTAATTTGTCATTTTAGTAACATTTTATAATAATTCAGCCTAAACTTGTCAGTCAGTTCCCAGGGCAGTTCAGGTTTTTCATCTTATTATATAGAATAGATATATCTATTATAATATATAATGATAATATATATTTTATATTTATTTCTGCTTTATTTCAGTTACCAAAAAGTGTTTTAGCTTTATAGTTTTAGCTTAAGTTAGCAATAACAACACCGAAACAAACAGCTCTGTGATATATTGATACTCATTACATAATTTCCTCTGTTTTTGTTAGGTTCTGTGAGGTGGCCAAAGAAAACGGTATGGACATCTTCCGTGTGTTTGACTCGTTGAACTATCTTCCAAACATGCTCTTGGGGATGGAGGCAGCTGGTGCAGCAGGAGGAGTGGTGGAGGCGGCCATCTCGTACACTGGCGACGTTTCCGACCCCATGAGGCAGAAATATTCCTTAGACTACTATCTCAAACTAGCAGATGAACTGGTCAAGGCTGGAACACACATCCTCTGTATCAAGGTGGTTGTTTGTTTATTTTTGTGTGGGTTTTTTATTTTTTTATTTTTTTTTATCCATTTGTCTGTTTTGTTAACCTCAACTCTTGCTCACTCTTTCATCTCGACTGCTGCTCCCACTCTGCCTCCACCCACACATAAAATACCACTGCATCACTGTCTCTGTTTGTTTCTAGTGCACTTCTCTCACTTTCCTTTACTTTCTCCCTCTGGCTCTCCTCTCTGCAGGACATGGCGGGTCTCCTAAAGCCTGACTCTGGCCGTTTGCTGGTGGGAGCGTTGAGGGACCGTTTCCCAAACGTGCCGATCCATGTGCACACTCACGACACCGCAGGGGCCGGTGTGGCTGCCATGCTGGCGTGTGCAGAGGCAGGAGCAGACATTGTGGATGTGGCGGTTGACTCCATGGCAGGAATGACATCCCAGCCCAGCATGGGTGCCATTGTGGCATGTACCAAAGGCACCAAACTCAATACTGGTGAGGGCTGTCAAACCGAGCTAATATACACTATA